AATATTTTAGTATGATATGCCGTTTTTGAGAGAACGTCCATTTACGGTAAAATATCTGTTCACACACACAAACATACTTTTTCCAAATTTGGTCTCATTCGATTCAGAATGGCTTGAAACATCGAGAAAACATAAAATTAACAAATCAGATTTTTCGATGATTACAATTCAGACTAATTCAGTTCTTTTTTTTGCTAATTCATTAAAACAAACGTTTGTACAACTTGCTTTAGCGCTTCGAACATAAGTAATTAATAACCTGGTATTTCTGCCACAACAATTGTATTATAATATAGTTATTAAAGTTTAAAATCTAATAATATCCGACCTGTGAACTAAGAGTCATAAAATATAATAGACAAATTAATGACGTCGTGTTCATTCTTCCATTGGTTTCGCTTATGTATCAATATACTGACAAATTGATATGTAATAGAATTGTTACCCGCATCGAATTATTATTGATCAAATTTTATAGCGCAATCACAATTATTGAATGAAAATTATTGATTTTATGTGTTTTGCACGGAAATTGCATGATGAGTTTTGTTAGAATATCGATTAGCGAAATTTCTATTATTGATTGCTTTCAAATGCATCGGCGACGATTTGGTATTATTTTATTATCTAACTGTAAATATGCAATTTTATACTTAATGTGTAAAAATTGCAAAACATTAAGTTCTTTATATTGATTCAGATGTAAAATTTATGTAATATGTTTGGAAATAATTTGCAAAAAATAATCGATTATAGATTATGAATTTGCACTTTCCATTAAATTAATTATTTACCGCCTTCAGCTCTAATCTTAACTTTGAAAGGTTTCAAAATTAAAAATTATATATTTGCAATTTAAAAAAAAAGAGCTTGCTGTGGTCGGGCTCAGACATAAGACATAAAACCAACTAGAATAGCTTTGGAATCGATTCTAGTCTCGAAAAGCAGTACAGATCCAAATATAAATTCAAAAACAGTACAGATTCTAAATAAAAATAGCCAGAAACTGGACAACCACTGGGTTGCTTTCTAATAATGTGAGGTTTTAAGGAATTTCATCAAAACAGCTCATAGCATACTAGGAATAATTTTGATTCCTGTGACAACAATAAGACTTGAAGATAAAAAATATCTTTGTAAGAAACTGACTAGTAATATAATATAATGTCTAATATTCTAAAACAACGATTTTACTGGCAAAATGATCTTAATATATTACTGTTTAACGCGTAGGTATTAATAGGCTTTGATTAACAAAATAAACTTATTAAATGAATTTACAAGTTGAAATAAAACTTTTTTAATAAAAATATTTTTTTAAACAAAACTGCTCAACTTCGAAAAATAATTTTGAAGCATTCGTAGTAAACAGATAAGAGCTTCGGCCTTGCAATCACAGAGTTTCAAGTTTAGTAGTGAAAGTAAAAATAGCTTTTGTTGTACACTTTACAGAAATGTAGAGCAAAAATTTTGTTTCCAAAGAAAGTTGTCAAACAAAAATTGGGTTGGCTCTGAATTAATCTTAGGTAAAAAATATATCATTGCTGCTTTTAGAAAGCTAGGAACAGTTCTGTTTGTTGTGGAAATAATAAATATAGAGAACAAATACGTTGAATTTTGATCAATAACTTTTTGTCATCCTACAAGCGATATCATCATCTCACATTCATAAAACTCCTGGGTTTTATTAGCAAAAAACTAGTACCTACAACTTGACTCCATCATAATCATTGAATTGTCTACCATTCAAAGAGTTTCAAGGTGGATATGGCCAAACATCTCAAATAAGTTCTAATGATTTTTGCCGAGTGACCAAATATATGTAATGTCAATAATGAAATAAATTACAGTTTACATTTGTCAATTTAGACAGTTTTTCTTCAACTGTTGTATATAGATAGCATCATTTGGTTAGATGGTGAGAGAAAAAGTATACAATATCTTTAAAATCAACTTAAACTGGATGACCATAGCGTTTGTATCTTTGAGTAATAAATCACCAGAACAAATTAATTTTGACACAGCCGATCAAGCTTCATAATTTCTTGTGAACTTGAAATGCCGTTATACTTTTGCAGAAATAAAATGGTAGTATGGAGAAATATTGCAAATTCACAAAACTGAACCCATACATGGGTTCGAATCGAGAAGCCGAACAGTCAACATCGAGTGAATTACTAAGTGAAATTTATTACATAAGTGTAGTGATATGAACGAGACTGCCTTCGGGCAGCAAAACAATACCAGGTACAAAGGGCCTCGGCCCGATGACCTTGGTGAGTGCGTGTCAAGTGCTATAAAAACAATTTATAACGTCGATAATGACGAAATTATGGAAATTTGTAAACTAAGCGAAAAAAAACCAGAAAAATCAGTGGGAAACATTAAAATAAAACAAAAAAATAAATCGAACGTCAACAAAAACGCAGGAAAAAATGTAAAAATTAACTCTGAAATCATACCAACAATAATAAAATCAGGTACGGTAAACATTAATAAACTTGATATAAAACAAAATAAAACGAATAATTTAACGCAAATTAACGACAATATAATGATGGAACGAATGGAATACGAAGAAAATGCAAATAATCAACCTGTAAACAAAACCGTATACAACAAAACTGTAAATAATGAATCTGTAGACAATATAGATATGCGTAATGAAAAGAACTCAATCGAGAATGAACACAAATCAACAACGACATACAATCAGTACAAATATGAACCTTCAGACAGTGGTCCATTTATAGTATATATAGAATCAACGGAAAAAAACATAGGTAGGTTACACCCGATGGCAATTGGGAGAAATATTTTTAAGCATATGGGAAATCAAGTGATAGATATACAGTCGGTAGGCCGAAATCAAATTAAAATACAATTACAATCACCAGAAATAGCTAATGAAATACTGGACAAAAAAAGTTTTGCGGAGCATAATCTAAAATGTTACGCTCCAAATTATTTGTTTTTTAAAACAGGTGTTATAACGGATGTAGACCCTTCTTTGACAGTGGATGAAATAATAAAAAATATCAAATCACCATATCCAATAACTTATGTTCGTCGCATAACGAGAAAAAACGATAAGAAGGAAATAGTTAATACAGGAGCTTGTATTATAACTTTCAAAAGTCAATCACTTCCAGAAAAAGTGTCAATATATGCAGTGAAATGTCGCGTTAACCCTTATATTAAGGTTACCCAATGTTTTAATTGCCTTAGATTTGGCCATACTGGTAAGCAATGTAGGAGTGGTGCGAGATGCTTCAAATGTGCTGAAGATCACAACAGCAAGAATTGTACCGTGGAGAACATTAAGTGTATCTATTGCAATGAACCCCACCTAGCAATCAGTAAAACATGTGGCGAATATAAAAAACAATATACTATACTGGAACTAGCAGCAAATAATAATATTGCATATAAGGAAGCTAGAGCTATAATTGAAGGAAAATCCTACGCCAAAGTCACAGCCGGATTTTCAATTTCAAATCATCAAAATGAATTTCCACACGTTAGCACCGAATTGAACACTTCTCAGGGAAAGAATTACGACACAACACTATTAAAACCCGAAATACGACAAGGCATCACAACCTCAGAAAACAACAGAAGAAACATTACAGTTCAACGAGTAAGACCACCACTCAAACATGAAACCAATCAACAAAACATCATAAATAATAATCACAAAGGAAAACAACCAATGTCAGATATTATTCAGATCACAAAAACAATAACGGAAATTATAAATAATAGGAATGACGTAGCACCGGAAAGAATTTTAGATAAAATAAAATCTTTCATACTTAGTATACACTCAAGACCAAAATCATAAATAATCACTATGGATTCTTTCAAAATAATTCAATTAAATTGTAGATCTTTTACAGCAAACAGAGGTGGCATAGAACACTATTTAAACACACATAAGATTGCGGTCGCGTGTTTATCAGAAACCTGGTTCAAACCGCATCTGATATATAAGATCAGGAATTATAACATAGTCAGAAGCGATAGAAACGACAATTACGGAGGAACGGCAATCCTTATCAACAAAGCAATAAAACACTCAGTGATTCAAATCAATAACAATAATGCAAGAATTCAGATTTGTGGCATTTCAATAAATTTAACAACACAGATATCGATAATTAGTACATATGTCGCTCCTGATGCTGTTCTGGAACAACATTATTTTCAGCAAATTTTTCGGCAGTTAACTAGTCCATTTCTAATTACGGGAGATTTTAATGCACATCATAATGCTTGGGGATGTAACTCATGCGACTCAAAAGGCAATGCACTTTATGAAGCAATTGAAGATTATAACCTAGTGATACTCAATGATGGCTCAAACACTATGATTGAAAAACCAAATTGCAGTTCATCTCCGATTGACGTAACGCTATGCTCAGTAAATTTAGCGACAAAAATAGATTGGGAAGTGATTCATGAACCGCTTGGTTCAGATCATCTACCGATTAATATTACAATTAGATCAAACATCCCTTTACGTACAGAAATAACTCCATCCAGAAAATGGAAGACTAAAGAAGTAGACTGGGTAAAATACACCGAAAAAATAAAAATATTAATTGATGAATGTCAAGAATATCAATCTCCTGATCAGGGATATGAAATCTTTATCGACACAATTAATACCGCCAACGAAATATATGTCGGAAAATACAAACAGTTTTACAAGAACAATTTTACTCCAGCAATTTGGTGGGATGAAGAATGCCAAAAGGCATTCTTAAGTAGAAAGACAGCTTTCAAGAAGTATAAGGAAAATTCTAATTTTATAAATTATCAGGAGTATAACAAAATAAATGCATATACAAAAATGCTTTTCAAAAAAAAGAAAATAGAAAAACAAATAGAATATATGGAACATTCAAAAATAGAAAATATGGAAAACAGTAAAAAAATTAGACAAACAATACAGTGGAAACAATACAATAATTCCAGAACATATTATAGAGGAACTAATGAATTTATTTGCTGTACAAGGTAATAATATTCCAAATAATAGTTTGCAAAACAACTGTCAAGAAAACACAAACGATTTTGAAAAATTTTCCTTTGATGAAATAGAAAAGGCCATCAAACATAGCGCGAATACTTCACCTGGTATTGACAACATTCATTATATTATGCTATTCCACTTGCCAGATAATGCCAAATCATACCTTACTAATCTTTTCAATGACTTTGTAATAAAGAACTTTATACCGCCGGATTGGAAAACGCAAATTATTGTGCCAATATTAAAGCCAAACAAAAACGCATTAGACGCGAACTCATACAGGCCTATTGCTTTATCATCATGTATATGTAAAACTTTTGAAAGGGTGATAAAAGGTAGATTGGAGTGGTTGTTAGAAAAAGAATCACTATTAGGAGGAACACAATATGTATTTAGAAAAGGAAAAGGAACCATGGACTATCTAGCAAAATTGATTAACGATATTCATATTTCTAACTCATATAACAAATATTTACTCCTAATTACTACTGACATTAATAAAGCATATGAATCAATAAATATAGACATACTCCATGAAAAATTATTACACTTTAAGGTCGGAAGATCTATAAGGAATATAATTTTAGAGCTGATAACAAATCGACAGATATTTATAAAGGCAAACAACAAATTATACGGTCCCAAAAAAACAAATAAAGGATTAGCACAGGGATCATTGCTATCACCATTACTTTTTAATATATACATGGCTCAGGTAGAAAAAATATTTACAGCTGACACACATATACTACAGTATGCAGATGATATAAGCATATATACATCCCAAAATAGTATTGACGAATGTATATCTAAACTCACACGGGAAATGTCTAAATTCCATCAATGGACATTAAATAATCATCTAACATTATCACAAGATAAAACAGCCAGTATAATTTTCAGTAGACACAGAATACCAGAAGAATTGACACAAATTAAAGTCAACGACAAGTTATTGCCAAGGAAAAGGAGCATTAAATTGCTAGGACTTCATCTGGATGAGAAACTTATGTTCAGAGAACATATAACATACACAATAAAGAGATGCGAACGTGGAATTAATCTACTTAGAATATTAGCTAAAACTTGGTGGGGAGCAGATCCCCAGATATGTATAAATATTTACAAATCTATAATTAGATCCGTAATAAACTATGGCAGCTATATATATGGTCGAGGAGCAAAATCATTAATGGAAAAACTAGACAGAATACAATACGCAGCCCTAAGAGTATGCATTGGAGCGATGCGCTCAACGCCAACCAATGCTCTTCTGGTGGAAACTGGTGAACCACCTTTAAGTATCCGCAGAACAATGTTAGGAAATAATTTTCTTTTAACAAAGATACATAATGATAACGAAAATATCCCTGCACAAATGGAACTGTTACATAAACTAGTTTCTACAAAAATATATTGGCGCAAGAAACAAAATCCAATATTAGTAGATTGCCTCATAAATATAAAAAAATATGAAAATAATATAATTAAAAATTCCACATTGCCAGTGTTTAAATTACCACAAAAATTAATATATAAAAAAATAAACACATACCTAGAAGAAAATCTGGTAAACACTAACATTATGAATGTAACCTTACGAAACACAATATTTAATTATAAGATAAGATTAACATGGCCTGGAGCGAAATTTATATATACAGATGGAGCCAAAATAGGGAACTTAGCAGGATGTGCAGCTTTTGAACCAACAAGCAATACAGTCAAATACATCAAGTTGCCAGAATCGACTTCTATCTTTACTGCTGAACTTATAGGCATCAAAAACGCAATAAAAATTATTGAAGATAATAATATAGAAAACTGTGTTATTCTAACCGACTCTCGGAGTGCAATAGAGGCGTTAGGAAAAATAGACAGTAAGACAAATAACATTATTTTGGAAATACTAGAGGCTATAGAAAAGTTAGAAAACAGAAAATATAAAATAAACATTGTGTGGATGAAGGCGCATGCAGGTATTAAGAACAACGAAGCTGTAGACAATTTTGCAAAACAGGCTTGTCAACTCGGGGAGGAAGGACATAAAATCCCAGCTTCGGACCTAAGACAGAAACTCAAGCAAATCGCACTGCATCAATGGCAACTCAATTATACAAAGTCTCTAGAGAAAAAAGGACACAAGTACGGCTCAATAAACCCGAAAGTATCCACGAAATCTTGGTTTCAAAAAATAAAACAACATAGAAAATATATTACAAATATATGTAGGATACGACTAGGTCATGGGAGATTTGGACAACACCTAAATAAAATTAATATTATCAATTCCCCAGCATGCACATGTGGGTATGAGGAAGAATCCCTCAATCACATCTTCTTTGAATGTCCCCGATATCACTCTGCAAGGGAAAAATTTTACAAGAAGCTGCAAAAAGAGAAAATTGAGTTTCCTACTAGCGTTCATCAATTACTTCTAATTAGTACTGAAAGCATACATAATATTATTAATCAATTTCTTATGGACAGTAGTTTAGAAATTTAATTTATAAATTCAACATCATATTGTATTGTATATTCAAAGTTTATGTATATTGATTAGTGTTCAAAGATTTTTGTATATAGATCTCTCTGTAAACTAAGTGGTGGCAATATGATCCAGATCAGATGCCATTATAATAAATAAAAAAAAAAAAAAAAAAAAAAACATACATGCTCGGTGTAAGCCTGTTTTAGCACAAAGTTCTCAAGATGCCATCACGTCAAAGAAGCATTATCGGGAATAAAGTTTCATATTATCCTGAATCTTATCACTTAGCTTTCATGCTTCTTTCAATAATAATTATTCATTTACTGTAATACATTTATCTCATTGTTAAAATCCGCATTCATCTCATCCCAATGTATGCACGGACACACACCTTTCCGTCCGATCCGGCCAAGACATGTCAAAGGTTCATTCAGGTGCCGACTTGTGCATTTTCCCACGACGCGTGCTACTTCTATTCTGTTCTGTATACATCTCAAATGTTTGCTGGAATAATTTACACCATTAACAGGCACCGAGGTAAGCAAACAAACATATCGGAACGCTACTCACAATAACATCATTCAAATGAGTCACAAATCAACTTTTAACAATATTAAGATGCTTCTGAAGTTGATTTGGCGCCGCCGAAAATTTGCGCAAGTAAGCAAGAGAGTGATAAGTTTTTTAAATAGACATTGTAATCAGTTGTGTATATATACCGGAGTTGACAAAATAATGAAGATTTGGATTTTTTAATTCCCGTGGAGTAAGTCATATTAATGGGCCGAAAATCGAAAATGAAAATTTGCATTTCTTCACGTTTTGAAGTCTTCTGAACATTTTGACATACCTTAGAAAAAACGGATGTGTGTGTGCGTGTGTGTGTATGTTTTGTGTGTCCACATTTTGCGTCCACGTTTTCGGGCGCACGAATCGACCGATTTCAATGGTTCAAAAAACATTCGTTTTATATTGGTAGGGAGATATGCCGGTTAGTTTTTGGCAAAGGCAGGTCCAGCCGAGAAATATGAAGCAAAAAGTGCAGATAAGAGGAATTGAGTTTTTGAGATTGTTGAACAGCTAAATTGGTAGACTGATAAAAAATGCGCACACGCGATTGAAGTAAAACTTTTTTGCTATTGTACTAGATGGCATTTAATTTAAAAATAAATATATCATATAACAATTTTGAATAATGTTCATCAACAATATGGTAACACTCGTGAGTCGTGATGCACACATTTTTTAATGTCAACCATTATACATATTTATATAATAATAAATTATAAATTTATAATAGCATTAAAACTATTAATAATATTTGAAAACAATAAGGCAATTAAAGCCATACGACATGATCGATTTGTCATTAGAATTAGCATCTAGGACTTGAACCTTTATTAGAGAACTGATTAACAAATTCTATAATATTCGTTCACACACTAAACAGTAATATAACAAAATCTTAATCACTAACACTAGCGAAGAATAAACTGCATAGATGTCCATTATAAAGTATATCTGTATATAAATGATACACAGCTACACAAACTATTGCTGTGCTTGATCTCTTGTTTAGAGTAATAAATCTGAATATCAATTTATTCTTTATTGTATATAAAAATATGCAACTTTGTAATACTTAATAGCCATCACCATCATTGTAGACTTCTTCTAAACTTCCAAAAGTATCTGAGATATAATTCTGAGAAAGATATATTTTCGGCATGTTAGAATAAAGCTGTACTGTTTTAATATTTTTTAATATCTCTAAAAATGCAGAGAATTATTATGTTGAACAACGCCTAAATAAATATTGTTTTTACAATTTCACTTGTCATGTAATTGTGTTTGAAGAACTTCATGTAATTAAAATTAACATACAATCATTGATTTCTTGTTTTTTTTTTAATTTTTCGCTGGCGATACAGTTTCGTTCTTTGAATAGTTGTAGTAGCTGTCTTGCATATAAAAATAATTTCCATTTAAGTAACCTCAAAAATACATAGTAACCACGAATATTACAAATTACTTCAATAAACTTACGTTTCTTATACGGCACAGATTTTTCATTTACTGTATTATTTACACTATAATTATTTTTCGAGGTCGGGATAAAATATTCTTCCGATCGAGACATTAAATCAAGATTTGTACTAATATTTAACCTTAAAATGTAATGACATGAAACACCGAATAATGAGCAACATGCTTCACGCTTTCGGTGACGTACGCACGTATAAAGTCACGCATATAAAGAAGCCTCGCACAAATACGACGACCAATCAGAATCGACTCGTATTGAAATAATCTCATCGATAGCGAATAACGAATCATTGGCACTCAACCTTGCCGTAACTCACTTCCGTCGCACTTGTACGGATTTACACCCATGCCGCGGCTGAAGAAGTCCTACTTCAACCAATTGACAGGTATATTAGTGGACAGGTATATTGGTGAACAGGCTGTCTAGTAGACCCGTAAATTAGTTAACTGACAAACAAGTTGAATGATAAACAAATTGATAGGTAAACTGGTAGATAAGTAGTGAGGTAGACAGATTGATATATAGACAGGTAAAATGGAAGATAAGAAAACTAGATGTAACAACTATGCTTTTTTTTTTTAATTTTCAATTGAAAGTAAAACACAGCAAAGCATGAACGGGTATAGCTAGTTTTATATAAAAACCTTTTCATGTAACTCTAGATTTCAAGTACTTCTCAATAAAAGTTTAATTTTAATTTATTTTTACTTTTCCTAGTTTTACATAACAAATCATTTGTGGAAAATCGCTATTTTAATTTTGCTAATAAAAAGTGCCAATATAACTTAAATTAGTTCTAAAATTGAGTCATTTACAGCATACTGCATTCCCATTTCTAATATTGTGTTCAACACATAGTATTGAGTATTTTTAAATTGATTAAAAAAAATCGATAATTTCATTCACCGTTAACACAAGTAATAGCCCTTGAATCTGTTATAGTAATAAAATTAATTAAAATATTGATTACGCTCTTTTATGTTTTTTGATACAGATTGGGCAATATATTATCAAATAAATTAACATTGAATTGTGACAGGTACTATCTATAAATGAAAGAGCGGAACTAAATTGATCTACGGTATACGTTAAACAAAGTGAGCCCTGCTATGTAATTTTACTACTTATTTGAAATATATATACACAGGTAGATATTAATTTGATTACCCCAGATTGGGCGTAAGCATTCGAGTCAATCGTTTTATGACCTGATTTACATAATTGCTCCTACTGTTTTTACAACCACATAAATTATTAAAAGAATAACTTCAGGAATGTCGTCAAACCTAGCATTTCTTATCTTTATGATCTATATGTATTTTAATATATGGGGCACTTCTTAGTTCAGGTGCATAATGAAGTTTAATGAAATATTATGGTAATTTAAATTTGTTTTATATTTTTCTAAATTTACTGCTACTGATTTAATAAACATTTTATGATTTTTATGACATTTAAAAATGCATATTATTAAAATATTCAAACAAAATTAAATTATTACTTAACTTCTATTAGGCTTGATTATTATTCTTTTCATTATATTTCTACATAAAGTGTCCCTTGTAATTAATTCTACAAAGCCGTACTAAGCCACTATATAATATATTATTCAAAATATAATAATTGCAAAATGAAACTGAAAATTGTAGAAATATCCAGGTAATGTGAATTAAAATTTGATCACTAAATTCAGAGCGATATGTGCAATTTAGTCAGAGTATGCAAGTAATTTTCCAAAACTTTTTAAATGGAGATTTTTCTCTTTTTTTGAAAAGCAATTAGTACTCAACAGATCTATGAGCACCGTTATATATTTCTCCTTAATCTATCTGTATTTGATATATCTGTATTTATAATTAGATTTTTTTCAAACACATATGTAATTTTTTAGGCAGAAAGGTTATTTTCATTTAGTGGCATATTTTAGATCTAAGTAAAAACAAATATCAGTGGTGGTGACCCAGTTGTTGCAAGGTGAATCTGATCATTAAGCTACGGCACTACCAAGTAAAAAAAAATTAGAATATCTAGATTCACATAAATAAAAATATGTAATCCATCGAAAGTATTGATATTTATGCATTTTAAATTTAAGCACGACGCTTTCTTGATTTTGCTTACTCTTACTATTAGTTTATTTTTTATTTTTTAGAATAAATGTATTTTGAATTCAAAAAATAATAAATAGATTACACTCCATCATTAATAAATAGTAATAACTTCAAAATAGTAAAATATTGATATTATTCAATATCATTCTTACTGTTACTATTAAATATACAAAATGTTACTATTAAATATACAAAAGTAACTATTAGAAGCATAAATAGATATAAAAGAACTAACTATTGGAATGTGGGAGTGTGTTGTCGGTAACTTCATAAAAACTAAACAATTATCTATAAAATTTAATTTAAAAGTCATATCAACGCAAGTGCTGCTGAAGAAATTTTCTTTAAAAGTGCTTCTATGTTGTTAAAGTCTTAATAAGACATCATTTGCTGTCTGAAGATTGTTTATACATCATTACAAATGAGTAGATAGAAATTTCAGGTATTTTCACCAATGATTTGTCTTTAAGTCCTATATAATCAAATTACGGAATTCCATTAATTTTTAACTCCAAGTCCTCAGTAGAAAGTCAACATGAGTTTTGAAGAGGCTCTTCGAACTGTTTGTGTTTCTACAATAAAATTAGTTGTTTGAATATGTGCTGTGTGTTTATAGAAGAATAATATCAAATTGCATAGTTCGTTATTTGCCTGAGTCTTAACAAATCAATAATTTTATGTAGGTATTTTACTTATTTCTAGCGCAAAAAATATTTTTGAAATACATAAAGAACGCAAGATAAAGGTTTATATAGAACTCTAAAGTTACTGTAGAAAGTGCAATTAAAAAACAAAGCAGATTTAATTGCTTGTTGCGCACTCAACTTTGTATTTTTTGACAATTTCATGTAGAATGC